GGGTTTAGGGTTACAGAGCCTACCATGGCAAAACCGAAACCCGAAAACTCGAGTCCTGGTCGTTGAATCGGTCGGTGCCCGGAGGATGGAGAATCGAGATGCACACTCGCCCGTCTGCAAAGATGTTCGGATGCCACATCTCTGTCTCAAACCTGAAGCGAATCTCGGCTTGTGGTCAAGTTCTTTGGGGTTTCGGGCCTCCTATCTCTGGACTTTCGTCGTCATCATCGTCACTCTGCTCCCTTCCTGCTCATCCTCTTGCGATTACTAAAACATGCGGCTCGGACCTGGAAAGGAAGACTCTCGGCGCGTTCTTCGAAACTTCAGAATTCCCGGGTTTAGGGGGTCAGAGGATCCTGGGGCCCCCAATACCGTTTTACTCTGGCACGAAACATCTACCGAAAGAAGCAGGTCGGCTATACATGCAAAACCCTAAATCCTACACCCGACACCCCGCTCAGCGGGAATGCGGAGAAAAGCGCGGCAGGGCAAGAAATGCCGCGACAAAGCCAGGCTCCTTTGGAAGGGAACGACATTCCACAGAGCCATCCAGCGCATCACACACCCTGTGACCTTGGCACATCTTGCGCTTGGGGATCGCTCTGGGATGTGGGTTTGATTTGCTCGATAGTCGTGAGCAAGCCCAGGTGGTCGCTAATATAGGCAGCATGGGTGTCCGCATCTGGGTTCAGGTGCACACAGTTGCTGCAGATCGAGGGAAGGACATCCTGCAGATATGGTCCAGGGTGCAACGGTTCTTGAAACATCAGCTCCACGTCCACCGCCTGCCACGTAGATAGCTTTGCCATGACTCGGTCCATCCTGTTCTTGTTCTGGTTCTTGCCATGGGAGCGCCAGGTGTTGCCAGGCTCCTTCCGCAAGGCCGGCCAGACGTCCTTGAAGCCCGGCAGGTGATCTTGCAAGCAGAATGAAGCAACGACTTTATCAAAAAGGTTGAAGTCACCCACCAAGAGGACCTCTGGCCACTGCTGCATCACCTCGACCGCCAACAGACACACAGAGACGCCTATGGCTGGGAGATAGAGAGACTGCTGAAGGCTCAAGGCTACAGGTCTAATATTGGGGGTTCCTCATTATAGATATAGTATAATGGGCCCCAAAACCCTATTCTACACATTAAGGCCCCTATGTTACAGAAGCCTCACCTCAGCACAGGCAACAAGCTGGCACTCGCGCAGCTTCTGGTTCTTCAACGACTCCAAGTGCACGGTGCCAACGGCAAGTCCATCAAGCTCCGCCACGAGCAGCTCACGCCCCATGTGTGTCGGCAAGCCGTGGCGGGAAAAACGAACTCGAAGCTCTGGAGGAGCTAGGATCCTTGGTTCAGTTGCTATAAGAGGCGAACCGCATTCTCCCCAAAGTTGTAGGATACATGTGTGCCGTGCGCACACCAATCGCTTCGCAACAGTAGCCGAGCAACATTACGCCATAGCCGCAACCTTGAATTGAGGACCCATCTCCAGGATCCGAAGATGACCAAGTGGGCAGCGCACGTTGGATGTCTATGGCCACCTTGCGGGTCACCTGGAAGCAGCAAATCGCTGGCCCCAGCTGCTGCAACGCGCATAGCAATGCGGCAGTCCGAAGTTCTCGTTGCTTTTCATCAAACCACAGGTTCAAGGTGAGAATTCTGAGCTGTTCTTGTGAGCTGACTGCAGGGTAACGGTGCACGATTGCGTCCAGCCTCCGGCTCAACTTTGGCTTTGCCTCAGAAAGCTGCCTCGCGGTGTTCCGCAAAATCTGCAGCACGAAAGCCCAAGTGGAGCGGAAAGGGAGAATGAGGCTATCAGGATTCCCCAATCTTCCCAGCACGGCATAAACAGTTCCGGCTGAGATGATGTCATGCATACAGAGGCTGCCGAGAAGATGGGCATTGGCCAAGTGCACGCGCATGAACTCCGAGTAGGCAAACACACGACTGCGAACTCCCAGAACCTTGGCCCGGGCTTCCTCCACCAGGCCCCCGATCATGCTCGGACTCCTTTAGCACGGCACACATCTTGATTATGGGGAAGTCACCATTGGGATGCAAAGCGACAGCGTGCAGCGACTCCAGCATGGCTCGGGAGTCAGCTTTCTCAAGGAGCAGAGGAGGAATTTCCATGGTCTCCTCCACAGCCTGCAGGAGACGTGCGAGCTGCTCTCGGTCATGCCGGTAAGGATGTACGAGCGGCTGAGGAACTTGCAAAGTCCTGTCCTGAGAGCATTGAATCTTGCAAGTGGCCAAGGTTGGTGAGAGATTCCAAGGGTTCCCGCGGTAGATCTGGCAGCAAGCATATAAATCTGGCTTCAGGTGCAGGACGACTTTGGTGACCAGGCCGCTTAGAACGGCCTGCAAGCCGCTTCGGACACTCTCTGCCTCCGTAGGATCAAAGCAATTGCCCATGTAAACGCAGCAGAGGTAATCTCCCTCATCACCGGGTCCAACCGTCATAGCCCGGGCATCTCCCAGTGCCCCGCTGTTCAGTGCCCAGACGAGCTCCGGCCATACCCGATCCATGTCCGGCGGCGGCAGGAAAAAAAGCCATTTTCCCCTTTGCATGCTGTGCCGAGCAGAAAGCTGTTTCAGGCCATTCTCGAGATCTGTCCTGGACAGGTCTCGCTGACTTGACAGCTTCTCCCACTCGGATGCAATTCTGAAACCATCTTTGCAATAAATTTTGCCGCGTCATCAGACAACTCCCTGCCGGCATAAAGAAAGCCAAACAGGTTCCAGTCAACAGCTGATGGCCTTATCCTCATGAATATCTTCATCAACCGCCCGATTGCAGCCTCTTCACCTGAGCACTCGAGTTCGAGCCATGGTAGGTGGTTTCGATCAACCGCCTGCTGCGCGATTTGAGTGAATCCATGCTGACGACAGTCTCCGCCATGATCATCAACTCCTTTTCCTCCTCTTCCACGGCCACCAGAACGTCCATTCCTTCCACTTCCCTTGGGAATCCCTGGCTGCTGCTGCTGGCTGCTGTCGGAGGGATGACTATCATTGGTATCCGGGCGGTCAGGACAGAGCCTCGTCCAGTGTTTGCCACCGCAGTTGCGGCAAGTGGCCATGGCTCCGTGGCTCCCCCCTGTGCTCACTTCCTGTCCGCTCTACCCATTAGGAAACCTAACTTGCCAACAGCGGCAGGCACAAGAAGCTCAGGATGCGGATTCATCATGCCAGAAACAGACTCGATGGCACAAACTTCGATTTGCAGTTGCGGGTCAAGAGTGCCCTGGCAACGTCGATTGCGTGAGTGCATACACACGAAGCAGACGCCTTCGCCCCAATTTACTCAAACCTGCGGATGGACCCGGGCAGCGCCAGAAATCCCAAAGTTTCAGAGCTCTGTCCTTCCTGGCGAACACTTCTTTCCGACAGCACCTACTGCCCTCAAACCACTGACATCATCTCGACATCCGGGGCAAGCGTTTCCCAAAAGATCTATTGATAGCAACCAGCGAAATAAGACGCTCTGGGGATAGTTCTGCTGCAGGATTTTGTCCATCAAAAACCCTAAACCCTAAACCCCAAACCCCAAATCCTAAACCGTGCTGCTAAGGTCGGCGCTTCATCTCAGGCGGATTGTTCGGAAAGTCCGGGGGGAAGACGAGGATGGCGCTGAAAATCCCACCCTCGTACCTGCTACGAGGGTTCAGGGTTTTCGGTTTAGGGTTCTGGTTATGGGTTTGGGTTTTGTGGCTTCTGGGTTGTCGTTATCTGTAAGCTGTTTTGGCAGGGTCTTTTCGAAGTGCAGAAAGTTTTTTGTGGCAGGAATTCGGGTTCCTCACTGTAGGTCTTTAAGTTGGGTTCTCATGGTCAAAGACGAAGGAGGCATGATGGTAAACAGAAGCCTAATGGCAGGAAGAATCCTTGAGAGGATCATGCTGCTACATCCAGATCCGATACCATGAAAGAAACTGCGAGCAGACTAGACTGATACTATTCAGAGTTTGAGGCTTCAGGGTTTCGGATTTCGGATCTTAGGGTGTAGGTGTAGTTCTACCGGGCATGGCTACAGTGGGTCGATGTTCAGCTGCCTTCATACTTCGACTTGGCTCTTGATGTAGATCGTGTCATAACATTAGGCTCCCCTAAACCCTAAACCCTAAACCCTAAATCCTAAACCCTAAATCCTAAACCCTAAACCCTAAAGTAAATCGTTCCAGGAGCCCTGATTTGAAGCAAGCCCACATGGCGCCTGCGGCCAACTCACCTCAAAACCCCAAAACCCCTAAACGGAACTAACCCAACTCCTCGGGAGCAGATGGCGCACAAGCTGTCCTGCGGCCCCTCGAAGACTACCTGCCACCTGAAAAAGTCCTGCCATCATGGGTTATCATAAGGGTTAGGGTTTAGGTTTTAGGGTTTAGGGTTTAGGGTTGTTACTATGAGGGCTGTTGAATTATACTGACGGCTTCCACTATTTAATTGGGTGACCAGAAGGGTATCATGTAAGGGGGTTCTACTGTAATGGGTTACTATACGTGTAATTGTCCAATGGGTTCTGCTGTCAGGGGTTGCTCTATACTGGGGCAATCCGTAGGACAGAAAGCTTCTCTCATCTCAAGATCAGCTGCACAGTACAGAGATACTGTTGTCCAGGTTCTACAACAAGCAGGTCCCTCGAACCTAACTGGGGCTCTCAGCTGAAAATGGTGTCTGGGATGTGGACATGTGCTCCGTGTGCCTTTATGAACCATTGCATGTAGGTATGTGTGTGTATGTACGTCAATGGACGTACGTGTACAACTCTGTTGACCGACCTCTGAAAAGACGCACGACACACATCGTGCAAGTGTTCCCAACCCGATGCCCGACGCCCTAAACCCAAAACCCCACATGGATGCAACCACTTGCAAATCGGCTCGGAGCGGTCCGAATCATCCTCGAGCCCCACCGAGAATCCACTTGTCTCGTCCTGCAGTTGTGCAGGGTCATCACTCTAATATAGGGGCTTTAATAATTAGAATGGGGTTTTGGGGTATACTAGAACTTTTATAAGGAGTCCCTAAAATAGTCTTGGTAATTGTTCAAGCCCTTTTGTTAGCATCCGCTCGACAAGCGGAATTTGGAGTAGCATGGCTTGGGGCCGTTTGGGCCTGTGAGGAGGGTCGGCGTCGAGGATTCAGGGTTTTGGGTCTAATGTAAGGGCCTATATAATTAGAATAGGGTTTTGGGGTTTTTTACACTTATACTACAATATTTATAATAAGGATCCCAAAAAACCCTAAACCCTAAACCCTAAACCCTAATTATTAAGGCCCCTATATTAGGCTTGAGGGATTTGCGTTTAGCACGGGGGGCTTCCGGCCGACAATCAGACGGACGCGCAGTCATAAACCCTCAGACCCTCAAACCCTGGGGTTTAGGGTTTGGGGTTTAAGGCTTAGGGTTTTGGGGTTTAGGGTTTAGGGTTTAGGGTTTAGGGTTTAGGGTTTAGGGTTCAGGGTACGCTACACCCTCAGCCCTTCGCTGTCCTTCATGAGCTGGCATAGCTCTCGCTTCAGCATTTCGCGAGCAACGTGCGACATGGCCTGGATCCGGACACCGGTGGCCCCAAAAAAAGGGCCTTAATATGGGGTTTCCGAAAATAGGGGATCCTAATATAGTACCCTAAATAATCGGATCCTTATTTTAAGCACCCCAGAATAAGTACCTACCCCTGATGTTCGGAAACTCCCATATGATTAGAATCCGAAGTTACAAGGTCAGCTTAAAGCAATTAGCAGAGGGCTTGGTTGTAAACCGTGGTGTAGTTGTAAAGGGACTACTCAGGGGATATTGCAGGGCTGTGGAGTGTTGGAGCTTACGGCCAGATTAGCTAAAGCTCTAGAATGTTGGAGTTTAGGGTTTCTTGGGGCGTTAAGGCTTTAGGGCCTAGGCTGTTTAGGGTTGAAGGATGTTGGGCCTTTAAGGCGCTGGGCTTTTTGGGGCTCGGGCTACATCCACATCTCGCCTTCTGATACTGAAGCGTGCTACGCAGCCACCAGCAACGAAGCGCCGGCCTGACTTGAACCATGAAACCCAAACCTGACAAAACCATAAGCCCGGAAACCCTAAACCCGACCCCAAACTACAAAAGATGAGCTCGAAATCACAACGCCCCAAACCCGAAACCACTAACCCCACAACCCCAAAACCCTAAACCTTCTGCTTCTTTCAAGCTGTCAGCCCTGCCCGAGAATCCTCTCTCAGCCTTGTCAAAAGAAGCTCCGTCCACGGCTCCACGGCCTGGGTCAGTCCATGAATTGAAGCTACGACGATTGAGTTTTGGTTTAAAGCCCCAGCAGATTTATATGGTTCTGGGATGTGGGTTCTTGTGAGTTTTAGGTTCATGAGAGTTTCGGATCTCGGCCAAGAAGTCGAACAGACCAACCGAATTTCCAGAAATGCTCGTTCTCCAGGGTTAAGCGTGTAGGGGTTAGGCATTCAGGGGCTTAGGCACACAGAAGCTTAGGGGTTTCAGGTTGTGGCAGCGGAATCGAGACAGCAAAGCAAAGCAACAACAGAAAAAAGAGGTTTAGGCGCCGGCAGAATGCTGGGGGAGCACACAACACCAGCACTACACGGCTTGAGCCGTCCAAGGGCATATCGGTGCGAGAAAGCTGTACACCCAAGGTGGCATGGCTGGCAACCAGGACTACCGCAGGACAGGAGCCACCTGTTTTCAGCATCATCAACCAGGATTCAAGGTCAAACATGTAATTCTCAACATCGAAGCAGAACGCTACTGTCAGCCACGATGTAGGGGCAAACCAAAAGCATCAGGGTCTCGAGTTCTGTGCACTGCTACAGCTCCGCCCTTTTCTCGCGGCCTCGCGGCTCCTTCATAGGTCACGGGAACAGGGAATTGTGACCTTTCCTAAGCTTGTCTTCCTCCTTCCGTCCTATGCTTTGAAAGATTAAAGATTGTGGGCCTCACGCTGGAATCGCAAGGCAGAGCAACTTGTCATGAAACGCCCGAAGTGTCAAAAAGTGAACCACCCGCGCGGGACCCAGGAGCAGTCCTGAACCACGCGAGGCGCGCCACTTTGTTTGAGAAAAGCAACGGCATCGAATTCCACAAACTTCGTCTCCGTACAAGGGCTTCCCCTTGGGATAGGACGGCGAGGACGAAGGATTCAAAATAACTGCTTGCGCCGGCAAGCAGTCAGCGAGCGTCCAGCGACTCTATCGGCATGTAGACCTGCCCGCTTAGGGCTTAGGGTTTCAGGGACTTGGGGTTTTGGGTAGGGGTCTTCAGAACCCGATCTTCCAGTATATGGCAATCTCTCGGAGCAAACGACGGAATCCTGTCATAAGGCATGGTATATACGCTTTATCTAGCCTATAGGAGTCCTATGATCTGACAAGGGATGCTCACCAAGTCGAGGTGAAATATGGGAATCTGAAGACCTAGTGGTAAGATTCCCTTCTAGGCCTTTTAAAGTTATACGGCTATGCTACTATACTAAAATATACCTACACCCTAAACCCTAAACCCCTACACCCTTAACCCCCAAACCCTAAACCCCAAAACCCTAAGCTAATCTCTCAGGCCCGGCCCCGAGCAGAACAGCCCTGCGAATCTCAGAAGTAATGTAGGGGCCTTGATACTTAGAATAGGGTTTTGGGGGTTCCTTATTATAAATTATAGTATAATCTATCCCAAAACCCTATTCTACTTATTACGGCCCCTATAGTCTATAGTGATGCTTCAAAGGGTTAGGTTTTAGGAGACTTGCGGTGCAGTGCTCAGGCTACAGGGCTTGGGTGCGGAGTTTGGAATATGGGTGCATGGTTTAGTTAAGGCTCAGAGCTTCCTTGTCGGGGGGCCTGAATAATTAGACTAGTGTTTTCGGTTTTCGTGTCCATAATAGTATAGCTAAGGAACCCTGAGGAATAAGATTGGTGAGTATATTTAAGCTTCCACTGTACCTGCTTGACTGGGCAGCCAAGAAGGCCTCACTCCCCACTTCCGCGAACTTCTTGCTCATCTCTTTCATGCCCTCCTGTGCGGCGAATTGCTCTGAGACTCCCTTGTCCCTTGATGAGGGTTTAGGGTTTAGGGTTTAGGGTTTAGGAGGGGTTCCGTCTTCATGATGCCTCCCATGGTTGAAGGCACCGTTCTCCGTTGAGGGATTGGGGGGTCTCCGGATGCTTCCGGGGGAAGATATGGACTTTTCTCATCACTTTTGCTCGGCTTGGACGCTCTGGCGGCTTTGATCAAACCTTAGAAATGCCATCATAAACTCCGACAAAGCCTGTATCACACCATGCGAGCCTCTGTGAAAAAACCCTCGTACATCAGCTTTAGGTCATTTACGACCATATAAACACCCAAAGAACAAAACAACCTACAGAAAATGTGGGACAGTCTTATCAAAGTCCTTCGGACTTGTTCGCGTCCTGGAAGTCAAGAGCTCAAGGCTACGTCAAACATTCGAGGGCCCTGATGGCTTCAGTCTCGGCCGTGAGCTTCAAGCAATCTTGGACGACTTGGAAATGCAACTATTCTGTATTGTTATGAACCACTATTCAATAGAAGCAATGCTACTACGGCCTTATCCATTACCAAGGCTTAATACTGATTCTTCTTAACTAATATCGACTACAGCTAATTGCTACTCGTTGTTGATACTGATTCTTAGTATTCCAGATGAAAACTATTTACAATTTTATCTAGCATTAACAACTACTACTGACCGTTGAATAAACCGCTCCTAACTATGATTAAATACCATCAGCGGTTGTTACGTGGTACCCACCGCCACCCCATTTCTGCCAGCTCTTGCAGTCCAGGCATCTCTGCGGCTTAAGGGTTCCGAGGTCGCAGACTCCAGGGTTTCCAAGGTTTAAGGGTTTGGGGTTTAGGGTTTAGGGTTTAGGGTTTAGGGTTTGGGGTTTAGGGTTTAGGGTTTGGGGTTTTAGGGTTTAGGGTTTAGGGTGTGGGGCCTTACTGCTGGGATTTCCATCTAAGATGGAATTAAAGGGCAGAAAAAGCCGCGTCTCACCCCTTTTGAAACCCTTCTAAGCCCTCTGCCCCCAACTTTGCGGAAAGCACCGGTAGCCCACACAGGCAATACCCGGGCCTTCAGGACGGTCTCGCCATCCTCATCACCGTAACCGCGCTCCTCTGCATACTTGCGCACATCGTCGGTGATCTTCATGGAGCAGAACCTGGCCAAACGCTCTGAAGGGTCGGCGACGGATGGTGAAACCAACATCTGCCCGGACAAGTCTCGAAGCTCCGAGAAATCTGGCAGCCCAAGCCACCACAAAAAAGCAAATCTGAAACAGAATTGACCCGGGTCGGGCTCACCTTATCAGAGACGTGTATCTTCCAGTACATCCTCTGAGAATTCATATGAAACGCTGTAAACCCCCTTTGAGAACCCTATGACTCTATAAACTCCCTTAGAGATCCTCATGAAGCATTAGAAGCCTCCTGCGATGCAGTCCTGAAATGAGGCAACGTAAAACTTATGAACCACAAACCCTGAACCCGAAACTTCAAACCCCAAACCTAAACCCCGAACTCTAACCCTAAACCCTAAACTCCAAACCCTAAACCCTACAGGCGCTATGCCCAGAATCGTAAGACCCAGTATTCCTTCCCTAACTCGGGCCATGGCTTCGGGCCGCACATGGAGCAGAAGTGTGCCGACTTGCCTGGGGCTACGGATGCGTTTTCGGCTGACACAATAAACGGTTTATCAGGGTTGTATGAGGGGGTTAGGGTTAGGAAAGAATCTTAACTAGCCCACTAGACTGTGAAAATTATGCGACTGTCCGTGTACTTGTACGTGGAGTGCGCGAGCGAGTGAGTGAGCGAGTGAGTGAGCGAGTCAGTCAGTCTGTCAGTCAGTCAGTCAGTCAGTCAGCGCGAATTGACCGGGCCATACGCAGCGGCCTACCACCCGCGCCGTTCGACTTTTCATGGGGGCTCCGTAAGCTTTAGCCATAAACATCATAGGTGCGCTTCGCCAGAGAGCTCAGGCGAAGGAGTACCAGTAAGACCCGGCGGGCAGCCTTTTGAGGTACCTTATGTCGCTAGTAGTATACTTTCGGCCACCCCCAGTAAGTGCGGAGGGAGCTGATGATCGCAGTCTTCGAGGGAGCACACACTCACAGAGAGAGGGAGATCGAGACGGAAAACGCGCCGCGCTACAAGCAAAGGGAGCACGATGCTCCGCCAGAGGGGGCAAACTGGCAACACCAAAACCGAATGCAGTGAGGCAGCACGATGCTCCAGAGAACGGCAGTACAGTCGTTTTGCCGTCAGGGTCCAGCCGGAGTGGCCGTTCCAACCACAAGTGGTTTTAAGTTATAACTACGCAGTCCAAAAACCGACGTGCACAGGAGTGACCACAGTACCAACATGGTGCTTGTCGGGCTTCCTGCCGCAACCTTCCTTCATCTGGATAGCGCTCAGCAGGACAGAAAAACTCAACCAGTCGCAGACGATTCTGAGAAGGCAGTGTCACACTAGTGCAGCCCAAATAAAAGAAAGAGGTGATCATTGCACCCGCTGCCAAGGGTTCTTAGTGCCCCGGAAGTCCTTACAACTTCCCAGCCTCAGTCCCTCAGCAGCAGAAGTGCTAGATACCGAGCTGCTTGCACGTGAAACAGATGCTACATGACTTTGTTCATCAGCAGTATGAGGTCTTCTTACCCATATCCCCATGGGGACACCCACCATAATGCGAAACATGCTCTCACACACATTCGCCGAAGGCCCCACCTCATGCCAAAAGCCCAAAACCCTAAAACCCTAAACCCCTAAACCCCTAAACCCCTAAAACCCTAAACCCCTGAACCCCTAAACCCTAAACCCCTAAACCCCTAAACCCCTAAACTCCTAAACCCCTACTTCCCCCAAGAGAGCTCAGTCCAAAAGGGTCGGGCGACCCTGCTCCGAGTCGATGGTCTCGTCATGCATGCTCCGTGCGGTGATGGGATCCTCGGAGGGTTTAGGGTTTAGGGTTTAGGGTTTAGGGTTTAGGGTTTAGGGTTTAGGGTGTTGGGTTTAGGGTTTAGGGTTTAGGGTTGCTTGCACCTCACCGGACTGTCGGAGTCTATAGCGCAGCGCGGGACTTTGGGCGCATGTTCCAAACTGCCCGCGCACAGTTGCATTTCAGGGTTTGCTGCTGCCAAGAATCCAGGGCGAGATTGAACTGGTCGTTCCAGCGGAACCTGAGATAACTTCATCGAAGTCCTAACAATGACAACTTGCAAAGACCCACTGCCCAAAAACCCGCATGACTTTCTACCAACCCCGCACCCTGAATCCATGCGACTCACAAGCCTGACCCTCAACCCTCAACTCCCTGTACCCTACCTACGTCCTATACCTTAAGCAACAAACAGTACTAAAGATCGTCGAGAAAGACTGCTCGTGACTACTCCAGAGATTGAGTATTGAAAAACGAAACTCAACATTCCTATAACCACCCACCCGCTAACGCCGCTAACCCTCCAAAACCCTTACACGAACCGAAGAAGCACCAGAATTAAATCCGTAGCATGATCAAAACTGTGAAATCAAGAGTGCTCCAAACCCCTCAAGGCACCCTTTCAAAAACTTGCTACAAACACGTCAAAACAGGAACATGCCCCAGGCCCCCCAGAAAAACTAAAACTAAACCCTAAACCGTATAAATCCTAAACCCTAAACCCTAAACCCGAAATCCTAAACCCTAAACCCTATAAATCCTAAACCCTACAAACCCTAAACCCGAACCCCTAAACCCTAACTTGAAGCCAAAAGGCTCAAAGCGGGCCTTGGAGAGCGCGTCATCCCACTCCTGGGCCTTGGGATGGCCCTTGGCCTGGGAGTCGGTACTTATTTGTGCTTTTGGGCTTAGGGTTTTTAGGGTAAAGAGGCTGAGAAGTTTAGAGGTTTAGGGTTTAGGGTAAAGAGGTTTAGAAGTTTAGAAGTTTAGGGTTTAGGGTAAAGAGGTTTAGGGTTTAGAGTTTAGAAGTTTAGGGCTCAGGGTAAAGAAGTTTAAGGTTTCGGGTTCAGAAGTTAGAAGTTTAGGCAGTTTAGGGTTTTGGAGTACAGGGTTTGAAAGTTTAGGGTAAGGTGGCTTGGTTCGGGGTTTTTCGGTGGTTTTGGAGGTTTAAATAGGACGGAGCAGTTGGCTTTGGAGGTGTCCTTTTTGGCTTATGCTTTGTTTGAGCTTCTGCATCGGCTCGTTGTGAACTGTTCATACGACTTCCGTCCTTTCAGAGTTGTAGGTTTTGGGAGGATCGAACTTTTATTAGTTACCAATAGAGGACGATTAACCATGATGGCACCCGAAGCAAGGACCCAGTCTTGGGTAGCGATGTGGCTGCTGTCCGCGATTATAGGGACTTGGCTTTGATCTGGACCTCCGGTGAATAGCATGCCGTGGCCACCCAAAACCCCTAAACTCCAACCAACAAAAACAATCCTAAGACCCTAAAACCCGGAAGGACCTAAACGCTCAACAACGGAAGAAGCACTGTTATGACCTTCATACTACAGGGCCTTAAGACTTTCAATCTGGTCGTGGGGCACATTATACTAGACTTATAAATGGAGCATTGGGGGACAATGCTGTTGATTATTCCGTCTCCCATATTACTCGGGGCTTCGCGGCTACACTTGGGCTGGTTACAAACTTATGAGAGGTGCCTTGCAACATGAGAGTCCCTGTAGTGCCGTGAGAAAAGCTAGAAATACTACCTCTTCGTAGTCCCCATGGAAGTATTCTCTCATCTACCCCAAAAACCCACAGGCTTCTTGAGGCTCTTATTAGGGTTTAGGGTTTAGGGTTTAGGGTTTAGGGTTGGTGGACAGAGACCGCCGTAAAACCTAGGGTTCACCAGCGGAGGGACCTAGTTTGAGCTCCCAGAATAAGAAGACCATGGCATTTGCTATAGCCAAACTTTGAACGCTCACGGCTCTCTCTTACCCTGAACCCTAACCTAAACCCTAGACCCTAAAC